AATAAACCCATACTCCACCAAAGGTCATTTTCAGTATCTATGGAATAATTCTCTGCTATTGATTTTTTCTTTCAAATTACACTGGTGCCATTTTGAGTTTATAGGGGAAAAGGAAGTATAACATTGCAAACTGAAAAGGTAAAATAAAAATCAAGACAACATTTAATTTTGAATTATAAACCATTGTTTCTATATATGGAAAAATGTATTCACAATAAAAAAAGATAGATTCAACAAGGGGGTGAACATTACCACTGTTACACTTTATATAAGATAAAATAGGTACATGTGAGAATACTTATAAACATTAATTTATAAGTATACTTGTTTTTATAGTTGTACTTTCTTCCTCATAATTTATATGTATATGTTTTAGTCTTTTGACAATAAGCCAAACCATGCCGTGTATTGATATTATGACATATTTGTTGTTGTTTACTTTTTTGGGGATCAATAAAGTCATTTATAATGTAGACTTTCATGTCATTCGTTATTTTTTTTTCCTTTGACACATTGGTAAATACTCCGTAGTGTCTTTATATAAATTATTTACGAAAATGTATCTTAGTATCCATTCGGTCCATTGGAAAGTCATTCTCCCGCCAGAATGTCTAAGGTAATGATTGGTCCAAGGGGAAAATTTGGGGTTTTATTATTTTGTACTGGACAACTGAATAAAAGTGGGATTCTTTCTGCAACTCTTTCTGAATTGTACTTTACACAAACACAAATATTTAATTATTAGATAATCTAAATTACAAACCAAACAATTGAGTTTTGATTTTAATTTTCAAGGGGTTTAAACCTAAGGAAATTATGGTTATTTTTTGATTCATACGATTATAGTTCAGATGGAGTACTTAACTTGAAAACTAAATTAAACCACATTAAATCTCAAGGCAGTTTTTTTCATCCATAAATTACATTTTCCCTGTTTTCTTTTTCGAAATTCATGCTACTGTGTTTTTGCAATGAGATACTACGTACCATTTTTACAGATGGGTAGTAACCGTATCTCATCTGCCAAACTGCCCGTAAGAGTATTACCTAAGGGGGCAGATAAACCAAGCAGAAAATTTAACTTTCAATTTAATTTTTTTTGCAACTTCAATTTAATTTACTGTATTAAATTATTAATGATAGGCTGTTAGGACTTGGGGTGAATTGCATAAGTAATTAATTAATTGACTAAACCTTAAACAACAAAAGGAGGCCTAAAATCTAATAATCTAATAATAAACTAATAAAGAGAAAACCCACTTACGAATTCACAAAAAAACCAAGAGCTAAAGCCCCAAATCTGAAATCTTCAAGACGCTAATCGAACAGACCTTCTGGCATCCGTGAGTTTACTCTCCCAACAAATCGGTTCTGATTCCCGAATTTTACATACGGAGTACTTACTCGAAGTATTTAGCACGGAGAATATACTATTATTAATATATTATATATTTTTCATTTAACCAAAAGACGTTGTTTGGAATAGGTAGGAAAATTAGATTTTTTCATCAAATGCCACCTCCGACGTTTCGTCGTTCTCAGCCCACCTCTGCGAAATTTCACCTTGAACAGCAAAAACAAACGGGTCTCTGAGGCGCTAATGGAGATACTACCTATACATACTTAAGCAACTGCGGCGAAGGGGGACGGCGGCACCGGCTCACTCCCCCTGGTTCCGCCCCTAAATTTACGGGAGAGCGTAACTAAGCTGAATGTTGGGGCTAAGAAGATGATGAGAAAGGGCATGACGAGAAGGAAATAAATGAAGTGAACACTAAAATATCGATTGAAATGAGGGGGGAAGTAACTGAAGAGGAAAAGGGCGATTAACACCGTGCCGTTAAAACGGAAATTTTAATAAAGTTAATGTACAAGAAAGTATACATGGTGTACAATAACATTGTGCATTAAGAACCACCAACACTTTTTCTATTACCGTTATACCCCTAACAATATTCACTCTTATAATATTGTAGAGATATAGATAAAAATGCAATTTCTATGTCTCCGACTAGTCCCCGACTAGGCGCCCGCCTAGCCGCCTAGGCACTAGGCTCTGGGCTAGCGCCCGACTAGCGCCTAGCACCTTTTAGAACATTGGTGTCAACAAATATTTATATTTTGGATTCACTTCACATGCTCTAAATTTTTCTAACTAGTGTGTCTAATCTTTAATATCGTTTGATATTTTACAAAATTGAGTACTAATTATCTAATAAAGATAATTAAACATTACAAAACTAGGAATTTTTTTATATGATAAGTATCCTGATTCTTAAACAATGAGTTGTTCTTTTATTTATTTGTTTAAATTATGTAAATTATCTCAGATATTTCTGCTTTTAATCTCCAATTAAGTATTACATTATGTAAGACTATATATTAATTTTGAAACCTACCTTACAAAAAAATTAATTTTTGAAAACTAAAAGCTAAGGGGGGCGAACACACACACATAACTAAAGTATGAAAATGTTATGAAAATATTACATATTTCATAGAAAATTTTGAAAGTCCAAGGCCCCCCTTCCCCCTCCCCCTTAAATCCATCCCTGCTTAAACTTTTCATTAAACCTTGAGGTTATGATCATAGTTGTGTTATATTTTCTTGATTTTGTGCTTTTAGATTTATATTCACGTTTTTTCATGTTCTCCACATCAAACAATCAAACAATATGTTCTCCTTAGAAAGGAGTATTATTTTTTAAATAAAAGAAAATACAATAAAATTACACCATTTTGTTTGTCCCTTGAAAATGTAACAAATATGATGCCAATATTTTTTTTTACTTGCAACATACTACGTATAACAATTAGTTGCAACACTTTCTTATTTTCACAAATTCTTATTTACAAAATACACAGTTTTTGTTTTGTACTTTCCATCTTGTTAGTTTTACTTTCCCACTTTTAATCCCATGAAAACTCCGATCTTGTAGCTTTAACTAAACAGATATGAAAGGTAAAAAAAATTATAATTTTTTTGATTTTTTATTATTCTATTAAATTATATTTTCTAAAATTGTATTAATGTTATTAATAATGGACAAAGAATGCTTTCAATTTAACATAGTTTTTGTTTAAATTTGTGTTGTCCATAAAAGTGATAAATATCATTTATCTGAATTTTATAGGTTCACACAAATCAACCATTTTCTTATATAAAAACCTATGGATTTAAAAGTACATGAATTAAAAGTCTACCAAAATCTAGACTACACCCCTTTAGTCAGTAGTCACCTACTCCACCAACTCAATGGCTCTTAAATGTTTTTTTTTTGTATCCACGCCTAGAGGGAAAGTAGCTCCATGGCACCCTCTACCACCTTATATTATTGCATTTGGTTTATCTTCCCATACATTAAACACCTTCTCTTAAGCCTGTTTGGTAACCTCTATATTCGGCTAGGGGTGGACTCGGGCCGGTTCGGGCCGACCGGGCCTCAATTCATGAAAGGGGAGGCTCGGAACCGGCCCGGGTAACCCCCGGGTCCGGGTCCGGCCAAGCCAGGCCTCGTTTCAATTTATATTTTTTTTGGCTTTTCCTAATTAACCCCCAGCCCTCCCCCCCTCACCCCCAAACCACCCCAAACCACCTCAAATGACCCAAAATACCCAACCCAACCCAAAAACTTAAAAAAAATTCAAAAAAAAAATAAATAAAATAAATTTGCCCGAACCGGGCCCGAACCGGCCGGGCCAGTTCACCTTTTGAGGGGCTCGAGCGGGCCGGGCCGGTTCAAACAGTAACCGGTTCGGGCCGGTTCCGGGGCGTGCTGCCCGGCCCGAGTCCACCCCTATATTCGGCTTCTTAGACTTATAAACTAAGATTTTTATTAAACATGTAGTTTTTGATTTTGTTTGTTTAATTTTGTCTTACTTAATACTAAAGATAGATACCGTTTGAGTTAGTTTTTTTATTGGGCTGATTGAAAATGCAAAGATGGTTATTTTGACTATATTTTGATTATTTTGAGTTATTTTATTATTTTCTGTTTTATTCTATTAATATAAAATATTTTTTTTATGTCCAACACCTTTTGGTTCTATGACATCAGTGTGAGTCGTGTGACACGCCGAAGCTCTTTCTAATGAAAAAGGATGACACCCCAACCCTGAGGGTCCTACAACACCGACTGAACAATTGACTGAGAGAATGAAATTGAAATTTAATCACAAGCTAATAGACAACGATTGAGGTTCTGGTCGAGGTACTTGCAGATGCCCGATGCATATTTATATTTTTACAAGTTAATTGAGAGGATGTAATTTGGACAAAAAGTTTTTGGGAAATAGAAACTAATAATGTCATCTTTTAACGATCTTCTTAGAATAGTCCTACCAAATCGTAATTTAGAAATACTCTCACATTTGCACATCATCTTCTTTTATCGGTCCCTGACTGGTTGATGACCTGCTATTTCTGGTTACTTTTTTTTTTTTGCAAAACATTAAATCATAAATCTCACATTTTGGTAATTTTCTCAAAACGGTCCCACATATTATTTTTTATTTTTTCTCCGTAAATGTTATCACTTCTTTTATCCTCTTGACTCTCTTATTCTCTTTTTCGTCTTCTTATTCTTATTTTTATTTCTTTCAATGTTTATGTATTTTTCCTTCGTTTTCTTCTTTTCGTTTATTATCTCTTTCCATTTCATGTATTTTTTCAAATTATTTCCCTTCTTATAACAGATCTTTTTATCACCCAAGTACTTTTTTGCTTTTTTACTTTCTTTTTTACTTCAACAAATTTATTTCTTTTTTCCCCTTAATCCCATCACTAATGTATTTTTTTCTTGAAGTTTTCAAAGAGAAAATACAAACATGTAGCCAAAAAAATTATAGAAAGAGACTACAACGAATAAGAATACATATAAAAGAAAGAAAATACAAATGGAGGAGAAGAAAGAAAAGGAATAAACTATGGAATACATAAACAAGGTAGATAAAAATTCTATCAAAAGAAAATTCTATAAAAAAACTCTTATGATACATGACAAATGTATAAAGGAATACATAAACATAAATGAAAATAAAAAAGAATAAAAAGGAATAAAAGTATTCTGAAGTTAAAGAAAAAAGAGTTAAAATTTGTAAGAAGAAAAAAGAATAATCATATGTGAGATCATTTTAAAAAAGACAAAAACCTGGAATAATAGGTCTTAGTGAGACAATTGATTATCAAATTACACTTGTTGGGATTATTGGTACAGTGTGGAATTATTAATTTCCATTATTGCAAAGTTTTTTACACCAAATTAAAAAAAGGATGTGAGATACTAAAAAGTTTCTTACAGCAAATTAAGCCAATTGAACAACTTCAATCATAATTTCCTCATTGTTGCAGATTGAGCGGATTGAGTGTTGAGTTTTTGCAGCCAAAGAACCCTAGTTTGTCGTGGCTCTTATGATCTCTTGAACCGCCAGACTGTGTGAGGTTGGTTTTTGGGTTGGATCATGTCATCCAAGCCGTTAGACTATGAGAATCTGAATGAAAATGTGAAGAGTTGTCAATATGCGGTCAGAGGTGAGCTTTATCTTCGGGCTTCAGAGCTTCAGAAAGAAGGGAAGAAGGTATGTATTGTCTAGTACTAGTAGTAGACTGTAAAAGCTAACAGCTTGGGTTCTGCCCTCAAATGCCTCAGCAAACCCTTCTTGTGTGTTTTATAAAGCGTTGTCTATCTTATATTCTTTTCAAGATATGTCTTTGTTTTTTTATTTTTGAAAAAAATCAACTTGCTATGTTCATTAACACTATATATCATTCTGGCTAACATAGTATATCACTAATCAACATAGTTAAGACTTTATGCTACTCTTCCTGTCATAAACAATAACCTCCAATTTGAAGTGCATTACACTCCATTCATAGCAACCATTAATCAAAATTATGTTTGAATATACTAGCAGAAGAGGGAATTGAGCTTTTGGGTGCAGAATAGAGTTTTGTTTACATAATTCCAATAAGAATTTTGGTAATTGGGCAAAGTCCTGGTAAAGAAATATGTAGTGTTCATTTGTAATGCTTTTCTGATTTCCTAGCATTCTACAAACCCTGCAGATCATCTTTACGAATGTTGGCAACCCTCATGCCCTCGGGCAAAAGCCCCTGACCTTCCCTCGCCAGGTTTGTTATAATTGCACTCAAACTGTTTTATCAAATCTAATATTTCTTGATTTGCTTTCTGCTTTTTCTAAGGTTTCACTCTTAGGTCACCTAAATAAAAAATATACAAATAACATATAAGCGAGATGATCTCTTAGGTCACCTAAATAAAAAATATAAGAGAGAACCTGAAGTCTTAATACTTAGATATACATCTAAATCTCTTTGCCGCAGGTAATTGCGCTCTGCCAAGCCCCATTTTTATTGGATGATCCAAATGCTGAACTTGTATTCCCGAATGATGCAATCGAAAGAGCTAAACAATACCTTGCAATGACCTCTGGTGGTCTAGGTATTGTTCTCCCACATTTTTTACATCACTGGTCCTCCTAAATCTATTTGAAGGGTAAATAGTTTGATCTTTATTATTGTTATTATCCACATAGGTGCTTACAGTGATTCACGTGGAATTCCGGGAGTAAGGAAGGAAGTGGCAGACTTCATTGAGAGACGGGATGGATACCCAAGGTGATAATGCTTATTTTGTATGCTTAGTGTAATCAAGGCTTCTTTACTAGGTAATAGGTATGGAACCAAGAAAATGACAGGGAAAGGAACAAAGTATTTAAGAAAATATTATGGAAATTACAAATTAAACCAGTTAGTTTAGAATTTTTAAAATTTTTATTTTTAGCTTTTAAATAAAATAAGTTCAAACAAGTATATAAAATTGATTCAATGACTATGAACCACTATTCTCCTCAAATTTATTTCCCTCCAAATTCCCTTTTTGTTCTCTTCCTTGCTTTTACGTAGGTTCTTACGAGTTCTAAATTTATAAGTGTATAGTTTGTTCATGGGTGCATTTTGTACAGTGATGCAGAACTCATATTTCTGACAGATGGGGCCAGCAAAGGAGTAGCACAGATCTTGAATACTATCATCCGCAACCCCAATGATGGGGTAATTATCCACCAACCAAAATTAGGGCCTGTTTTGTAGTCTGCTTCAGTTTGTCCTGCTTATAAGCAAAATCTCCTTTCAGCATATCAAACCATTTCTTTATATAACCCCTACCAGATGGACTCTTAGATTTTCTTCTTTGATTGAAGCTTATACTTGGCAGTTTCAATCAATTCCATGCATTTCCCAAACTTGGGTTGAGTAGTAGTAAGTTCAGTAGTGTTAGTTTCTGACTCCATATTAATTTGTTAGATATTAGTTCCGGTTCCGCAGTATCCGTTGTACTCTGCTACAATATCCTTACTTGGTGGTTCTCTGGTTCCGTATTATCTTGAAGAGAATTCAAATTGGGGTCTGGATATCAATGACCTTCATCGTTCAGTTTCAGAAGCTCGATCCAAAGGATTAACTGTAAGTATTTTTGCATCTGTTTCTTAACATATATATGTCCCCGTAAAGCAGGGGCGGATGTACATTCATTGTATTGGGGGCACATGCCCCCAATGGCTTCTAACTATATTTTAAGAAAGTTCAATTAACAATTTGTATTTAAAGGTAGTGCCCCCAATAAAAATTAAGTTGTGCCCCCAATAAATTTTCATGGAACAAGGAAACCCGTCAATGCAAATATATTGCACAACTTTTGCAAATTAGTGCATGCCACTTTTATACATTTTATTCTTAGTATCTAATCTTAAGCAACTAAATAACTAAAAGGAAGCTAAGGAAAAATAGATCACAATTTGTGTTCTCTAGGTGATACTTTTATTGTTTATACAATAATCCTAATAAGTGTTTTTTTGACTGCCTAATAAGCCAGTAACTATATAAAAGTAGATGTACTTGATACATTACGAATGAAGTCCTCACTTAAAAAAAATGAATATATCAAGACATCAAGATATAAGACTCCCTTTCTTTCTAAACAAATTCTCACTTTAATTGTGCAAGGAGATTAAAAATAATGGCTCATAAGAGTATTAAAAGACAAAAACGGATGAAATTATCTTCTGAGTGAATGATTCTATTAGGGAAAAATAACAATAGCCATATTTAAAAAAAAAATTCTCATTAAAAGTTTGTAGATGATACTAATGTTGTAGAGAGATCGATAAAATCATAAAAGTACCAATTCAAATAGCATTATATTGATTTCTTTAGAATTAAATGGAAGATAAAAAAGAGGATGACACCTCATCCCTGAGGACCCTCCAGAACCGATTGGACAATTATCTAAGAAATTAAATGGGAGATAAATTTAGATTTGATGAAAGCAGAAACTATGAAGACTAGTTAGAAAAAAGTTAGAAATATAGGAAGTGTTTTCTCGGATTATATAATATTATAGCATTATTTGAACTAAATACCATCATATGTGTTTACAATAATAAAAAAAACTAAATATATGTTTATTTAGTCATACTTGACATATCCTTATACTTTACTATTTAATTATAGGAGGTAGCAAGCAGGGGTGGATACGATTTGGAATGGTTCAGGATTAGGGTTATACCAGTCCCGATCCGATAATCATACAAATGGGGCAACAAGACGGGATGTGAACCTTTTAATTGTACGAACGAAACATTATCAATTTCAGGTTATTTCAGAATGGGATAACGGGTCATGATTCTTGCCCAACCCTAATAGTCAGTGCCCCCAATAACAAAAAATCCTAGATCCGCCCCTGCCGTAAAGCTGAGTATATTTTTTCCTCTATATATTCTGTGAAATTCTAATTCCTTAAACAAATCTTGAGAGAACTTATTTGGTGGTATTTTCATATGTATACCCTTTGTGTGTGTTTTGTTCAAAGGGAGGAGAGGGTCACAATATTTTCTTTTTCCTGCGCCTGTGTCCTCTCCTTTGATGTGTCTCCTCTCCTTTGATGTTTTCCCTTCCCCAAGATGGGGAGTCGCCCTTTTCCCATCCCCACCTTTGAACCAAACACGCACTTTTACAAGTTATTTTATATATATATATATATATATATATATATATATATTCTTTTTATCCTTTTTATCTTTTCATTTTTATGTATATCTCATCTCTATTTTATTTTATTTTATTTTTTGTTATCTTTTTTTTATTATCATACCTTATCTTTTTATCTTTCGTTTTCTTTTGGCTCCGATATCATGAATAGATTCATTTTAGCCGACTCCAAAATCTTTTGGGACTAAAGGTTGGTTTGCAACTGCTTTTAAAAAAGCACTTCTCAGCTTTTGCCTTTAAAAAAGCACTTATTTTCCCAAACACTACAACTTTTATTTTTCTCGGCTTTCGCGTCAAAAGTGCTTTTACTTTTTCTATTACACAAAAAGCACTTATTTTACCAAACACTACCCACTTTTACTTTTCAAAATCACTTTTTTCTCAAACACTATCAACTTTTATTTAATCACTTCTCCCCATTTCATTAAAAAAGCACTTTTTTAAAAGCAGAAGCTGTTGCAAACAGACCCTAAGCATTGATTGTTGTTGTTGTTGTATACCCTTGGGGTGTGTTTTGCTCAATGGGAGTTGCTCTTCCAATCCCTACCGTTTGAACAAAACACACCCTTAGACTGTGTGTTTACCTCCACCATCCTCTGAGCTTTTATTGCTATTATTTTTGCATCAGCCTTGTTTAAAACTATCTTCTATCCATAAAATGCGAAAATATAAATCTACATATAAGCCTTATGCTACATTTCCTATAAGGAAGTCCCCAGTCTAGGTACATCATCAGAGTTAATAAAACTCAAACTAGCCATCTGTGTAACAAAGACTAAAAAGCACATCGTAATTTGAGATGGGTGTGTACTACGAGACCAGTACACACACTCCACACTACCTATACATAGCCAGAGTTCATTGTATGAGGTGAAGTTTCAGTGTTTTTCTATTTTTTCGTCCAATCAAATTATGCGAAACCATGGAGTATGTAAAATGGGCTAAAGGAGTATTCACAACATTTTCCCACGCATTGGCATACTATTTCCTTACCGCAACTTAATGAAGTGGTTCATTATTGAATGCATTTAGATACGGGCAATGGTGATTATAAACCCTGGAAATCCCACTGGGCAATGCCTTAGTGAAGCAAACCTGAAAGATGTATTACGATTCTGTTACCAAGAAAACTTGGTGTTGCTCGCAGATGAAGTTTATCAACAGAATGTCTACCAAGATGAGCGTCCCTTTATAAGTGCAAAGAAGGTAATCACATTGAGTTTAATTGATAATTTATCATTAATTCCATTCCCTGTAGCTTTTAGAACTTGATGTCATATACTGATATTATTACTTTCAAACCTTAAGGTTCTATTGAATATGGGCCCACCCATAAGCAGAGAAGTTCAGCTTGTTTCATTCCACACAGTCTCAAAAGGATACTTTGGTGAGTGTGGACAGCGTGGTGGATATTTTGAGATGACTAATATCCCTCCCAAGGTCTATCTTGTCCTAATTCTGTTTTATTATATACTGGAAACTGTCAACTGTCAATCTGTTGCACACCATAATAAAGTGCATTGCTCATATTATGTAATCTACAGACTGTCGAGGAGATATACAAGATTGCTTCGATATCCCTTAGTCCAAATGTGCCTGGGCAAATATTTGTAAGTGATTTATTTTATTTTATATCTATTTTATTTATAGTGTGTGTTTTAAATTTGCTGTCGGAATTAATGAAATAATCTTAATCTTGTACTATAATTTTGATCCTCAATGGTAAGTAATTTTTATATATTATGGTTGAAATGATTGATTGGGTTGAATGATCTACATTTTATTTAACATGTATTCTTTAAATAAGTGAAATAATAATGTCCACAAGGTCAAGGTAGAAGTGTCATTTATCATCATATTAGTAACTATGTTCTGAACTAATTTATTTATTCATTCTCAGCCGGTTAAGCTAAGACATTCACATAAATGTGGTAAAAAATCTAGCTGATTAAGCTATAAAAGCATGAGGTTACTGAATGGCACCTTTCTCACTTTTTGCATACATGTCCTATTTTGAATTGGTGCTTGCAGCTAGGTCTAATGGTGAACCCTCCTAAAGCTGGAGATATCTCTTATGCTCAATTTGTTCGGGAAAGGTATGGCTCCTTAGGAATCATTTTTTTACTCGTTAAATATGATTGAGAAAACTGCATTATATTAATTGTCAATGCCAAGCACAGCAAAGGGATCCTTGAGTCGCTAAGGAGAAGGGCCCGTATAATGACAGATGGATTCAATCGCTGCAGAAATGTTGTCTGCAACTTTACTGAAGGCTAGTAACATCACTGAGCTCTTTTAGTTTTATTGCTTATTCCAAATCAGTTCACATCTTACCCAGGTAGAAAGCTTTTACAATTGCCATACTAAGCAACACGTAGGCAAGGTTGAAAGAGAGTTAGGCAAGTAGTCTAAGTGGAAAATGTAGGCAGCCAAGGACAGTGTAGGCCCTTCAGATTAGACAAATATGAATATACAAACAAACACATAAGGCATTGCGTTATTCCTCCTATCAAATTAAACCCCGACTTTTTATTTTTGGCACAACTAGCTGAAAAGATTTTTTTTAATAATTGTTAGGTTTTAGTGATGGAAGAGATCTTACGAGAAATAGGTTGTAGATGTTTAATGAAAGCTAAATATGTTTGATGTAGTTCAGTTTGGGTATGATAAGCTGTTATGATTAATTGATACGAGTGTTAAAAACTACAAACTTTCTCTCAGAAGCTACGTAGAGTAGCTTCTAAAAGAAGATTTTCAAATTTTAAAACAACTTCTAAATATTATTATGCCAAAACATACCACTAAGAGGTATTAGAGACTTTTTAAATAAAAAAACTATATGGGACTTATGTTTGTCAAACATGCATAATGTGAAATTGTGTTACTTTCAAGTGAGCGAATCCGTTTTCTGACTTTACTCTAAAGGAATGAGTACACGAACATCATGATTAGCTTACTTCATCATTTCACAGGGCAAGGAAAGTCACCCCATATTTGCCACTCTTAGAACTTATTTAATTCATTTCAAGATCAGCGTGTTCCATCGAGTCTCAATCTTATATTGAAGGTTATGACGTTATATTGAGTTATTGACCAAATAAAACCATTTAGAATGGAAATCCAAATCTTATTGTATTGTTGGATATCTGGTAAGGGGTAAATCAGTACTTCAGTAGTAGTTGCTAGGATTTTCACCTCATCGATTTTACCCATACAAGTGTTTGCAGGTGCCATGTATTCTTTCCCACAAGTATGCCTTCCCCGCAGAGCTATTGAAGCTGCCAAAATTCTAGGAAAAGCTCCTGACGTTTTCTATTGTCTCAAGCTCTTGGAGGCCACAGGAATCTCCACCGTTCCTGGCTCAGGATTCGGTCAAAAGGAAGGGTACCGATTTCATTCTTCAATTCAATTATTGTGATCTATTTTATTTTCTGCTTTAAACCTGTATTTTCTGTGTAGGGTTTTCCACCTTAGGACAACTATCTTGCCAGCTGAGGAAGACATGCCCTCTATAATGGCTAGTTTCAAAGAGTTCAATGACAAATTCATGGACCACTATGAAGATCACAAAGGCTATTCCAGAATGTAACTACTGATTATATGCTAGAGAATAATCAACTTTTACAATCACGATATGTGTGCGTGTGCATGCATATATATATGCATTTATGTATGTTATATATACATAGTATATAATACGAATAACTGGAGAGGTAAATCATTTTACACAATGTTATTTTCAGTTCTGTGATGGTTTGGTTGTAATCCAAAATATCTTTGAATATACATGCATGAATAAATAACACTTCTTTCAAAGTTTTTCTTTTGTCCGGACAGGATTCGGTCAAAAGGAAGGGTACCGATTTCAAAAGAATCGAGCACATCCTATTATCCTAATACATATATAGGACCAATACTGGACTACTTAATATCAATATGAATGAGTTCAAAGAACCTAACAGATTTGGTTGTGCTACTTGGATAAGGCAGTTTCTTTTGTCTAGAAAATGACAAACATCACAACATTGAAAAGAACCATAAGAAATATAGCTATATTGAGTAGACAATTGCTTGAAAACAGCGTCTCCTCGGTTCACGAAGTGGATCAGTGGATTCAGGAGAAGGAAATGATCTGTCTAAAAACATGTCCTTGTTCTTTGATTTCAGCATCGCAATCATGCTGTGACGCCATGAGTGATAGTTCTTTCTGTGTGGAGTGCTGGAGCCAGAGTCAAGGTCGGATTCTCACTGGGATGAAGATAGAGAGGATTAGACGGATTGTTGAGACTTGAGATGATCAGGAATAGAATCATCTCGATTTTCAAAGGACGAACTGGTAGTGACCGTGGCTGAAGCTCAAAGAAGAGATTTTAGGAAGAAGAAAAGGATTTCATCTGATACCATATTAGCATATAAGCGTGTGGAGTTTTAGAGAATGAGAAGATGAAAATTGCACTATTCTTTCCTGAGAGGAAGATGAACATATATGTAGCTTGTTTACATTCAGACTTTACAACTGGAAAATATCTAACTACCTAGCTTAACTTCCAAGCCAACTACTTATCCAGCTAATCATTACAAAAAATATAAAACCGATCAAAATAATGATCAAATATGCTAATAGGAACTCCCACAGGACATGCACTTCAAGATATTTTTGGAATATTGACCCAAACTTGTTAATTGGTATAGGCAGAGCATTGCTCTCGGCCTAAGCTACAATTAACGAACTAATCAACGAGTTTAATCCAGAGGCCCAATTCAATCATTCAGCCTAGCGTAAAGGAATCCCAAACTTAGTTTGAAGAGAAGACCTATGCAAATGGCTGTGAATGAATGGTGGATGGTGTCTGTGCCAATCATATATGAACTTATTTTGAAGAGAAGGCCTACGCATTTGGCTGAATGTATGATGTTTGTGACGATCATATATGTGGCAGTTAGAGGTGGGCACAAAAAACCGTAGCCGCGTAACTGTCTAAAAAACCATATAACCATTAATTTTCCGGTTAACCGTACCGCTTTTAAAAAAAATCACGGTACAGTTAACCGAATAAATAAATAAAATGTTCTACGGTCGGTTCACCGCTTTAAAATTAAATTTTCCGGTTAACCATCCCGTATCCAGGTACGCGGCTTCACCAAGTCCAGAGCTCCATTTGTAAAATGATGTCTTTCTTCTTCCATGTTTGTCTAGAGCCGCCGACCTGATCTAGCCCATTGATCTCTTCTGCTCCAAACCAGTTGTTTCATCCTCCGCCGCTCGATTAGCTCATGGAAAACGAAGCCTTTCTTCTTAGGCGATCTCTTCTGCTACATATCGAGGTATTTCATCCTCCACACTGCAATTTTCACATTCAATTTTTGATTCAATCCCCTTGAATTATACAGATCCTCCACGCTCAGATAATGTATAGCTTTTTTAAGAGCATAATGTATAGTTGGCTGTTTTTTTCTGAAATGTTTGTTGGCTGTGTTTTTTTTAAATGAGTGAGCCACAATTATAGACAGAAAGGTTAAATGAATGTCTGTTAAGATTCGGGGTTCCATCCTAAAGGGTCAACCTAATAGGAGTAGCCCAGATCTTAATATAGCACTTCGTTGATTCAAACATTTCCGGTGTGGGACTCTAACAATGTCAAATTAAACTTTTGAATAAGTAGAAGTGTAACACCATACTATACTTTAAAAAGTGTGAGGATAGAACCAAGTTCATATATAGCATTCACATTTAATATATTAATGTCCTTAGCCTTACTGGTAACTTGCAGAGTAATGCAGTGATTTTCCATTTTCATTTAGTATGAGAAGGTTTTTGCATGCAGCAGAAGGGGACAGAAGTTGATGGAGTTCTTGAAGTTTGGTAGGAGTAGTTATGTTGTGATAGAAGAACATATATAGAAAGATTGTCTCAAAAAAATTCAGAAGGTTGTCTATGCAAACATGTATTTGAACATGTATTTGAACACCGGTGTATTCTTGTATTTCTATTATCTTCTTCAAAACTTGATTTACTTGTGGATTTTTGTTTATGATCATAGATGTTCAGAAAATTATTTTCTTTTACAGTTTATGGTTTGTGGTTAACCTATACTCGGTTAACCGTGTACTCAGCTCGGTTAACCGAAGTAACCGGTTTCTCGGTTAACCGGAAAGTTGGTTAACCAAAATCCGGTTAACCAACCATGTCCACCCCTAGTGGCAGTCTCACCCGCGCGAGTAGCTATGTCCATCTTATAGCTTGTGAAAGCTCTGTATAAGTTGGCCGATATTCTGAGATGAAAATAGTTACTACCTCCGTCCCATAATGATTGTCTCATTTCAATTTGACACGATTATTAATAAAGTGGTTACCAAATGAAATGATATGAGCACAAATTTCTTACCAAAAAGGGAAACATTACATCCATTTTGGGACAACTCAAAAAGGAAATTAAGACAACCAAAATAGGACGGAGGGAGTATATAATATCATTTTGTGTTTCATGACTTTTTAAATAAGAGCACTTTTATTAGTTTATAATATTTGTACATTTACTCTTATCAGATGACATGGAAAAGTTAATTTCCATTACTATGTCATTCTCTCAAAACAGGGGCAGAGCCAGGACACTGGGCCGGACTGGGCCGGTACAAAAAATATTTTTGGAAAAAATTTTACACAGAATTTTTTACTCTAAAAATTTAGACATTTTTAAAATTTGGGCTGGGCCATGGCCAAGGATGGCCACCCCCTGTCTACGCCCCTGTCTCAAAAGAATTACAAACCGTCACTTAATTTTAAGGTAAATATCAAATTTGAATGACTTGTTTACAATTTTAAAGTAAATAGTTAATAATTGGAGCATTACTTTTCTATTTACTTGAGAAAGCTAATCATCCAAAATGAGCACCAAATAAGGAAAGTGAATTATTAAATAAAATGCTATTAATAATAAATGAAGAAGAAAAAAGATGTAAGTAACCATTAAAGTATCTTTGAATAACCTAAATATATACTCCCTCCGGTTCTGAATCATCTTTACACTTTGACTTCACACATAATAAGAAAAATAAATTGGACTTTACTGTAGAGTACATTATTTGGCACTGTTTGACACTGTTTGGTGTAGATTTGTAAGGCAAATAAGGAATTGTAAAGTTTAATCTGGTACTAACAAAAAAGGAAAACGTAAAGATGAATCAGAACCGGAGGGAGTATTAGGCAGATTCCTAATATAAATGGTATCAAGAGCTCTAGGTTTGTAGATACAATTTTTTTTTATCTTTTTACAGTTCCATAGTACAGCCGCCCCCGCCTCGGGGTCTACTGCCATCACATCTACGGTAGTCTCCAATCCTTTGAGGATGAGCGCGACTGATATGGCTCAGATCACCTTCTCCGCGTCGCTGACCATGGTTTTTGCTTCCAGCGTACCGATGAGTTTGCCGCCTGCTGTTGCCTACGTCCGCGCAACCCACCTTCTTCGCGTCGCTGACCACGCTGCTTGCTTCCAGCGCACCGTTGAGTTCGCCGCCCACTGCTGCAGATGTCCATTGTCCGCATTATCCCATCGTCTTCTGTCGGGCCAGTTGGCCATCGGCTGGGATCCTCTCCGTTGCCCACTTCATTCGCTGCTCTTGCTCAAGGTATCTTCAGGGGTCTCCAAAATATGGACAATATTTGATGTTTTTCTGGATCCTAATGTGGTTTCTTAGAAGTCTTAAAAACAACCTACTTGCACATGAAGATCTTATTGTCAAATATGTGTCTCCTAATCTTCTGCTGGCGGATATGTATATATATATATATGTGTGTGTGTGTGTGTGTGTGTGTGTGTGTGTGTGTGTATATATATATATATATATCTTGGTTGAAACTGTAATGTGCATTAGGTGAAATTGAAATGTGCATCACAAAGGGTACGATAGAGTGACATTATGTGCAGTTAAATTGTGCATTACGTGAAATTGAAATGTGCACTAGGTGAAGCTGAAATGTGCACATATCAATTTCATCTAATGCACACTTGAGTTTTATTTTTATTTTGCACATTTCAATATCATTTAATGCACATTTCAGTTTCACCAAATGCATAATTTGGTTCCACATAATACAATCCAACGGTCTAGATTCGTTCTCATTTTTCTCCTAAGATCTGTTCTTACCGGAACCGCTTCCTATATATTCTTTTTTTGGTTTTGGGCTAGGTTTAGGTGGGTTGGGTTGGGTGTTTCCGAGGGGTTTGGGGGGATGGGGGGATGTGGGGGGGGGGTTGAAATAAATAAGAAAACACACAAAAAATTGAACCGGAACCGGTAGACTCCGGGCCGGTTCCGGGCCTTACCCAAAACCTTCAAAGCCGGGCCCAAGCCTGAACCGGAACCGGTAGACTCCGGGCCGGTTCCGGGTCTTACCCAAAACATTCAAAGTCGGCCGGGCCCAAGCCTGAACCGGAACCGGATCGGGCCGGGCCCAGGCCTGAACCGGAATTGGACTGGGCCCGATACATCTAATCATGTTTGTAAAATAGCATTTATTTATTTTAATAAGAAGGATAAAGTTATTATACATCATACTACCTCCATCCCACTTAAAAGTTAATTAACATTGTGAGAAATAACTTTGATGGATATGTAATATAATGAGTCATTGAATTGATGATAATTGTGATGTTATAATATAAAAGGAAAAATACATTATCTCCGTCTCAATGGATTTTGATAACTTCGAGTTAGGTGAGAAAAAAATGTTAAAGTTTTGTGATTGAAGATTGTGGAAATGAAACAAAAATGAGCAGAACCACAAACTAGTTACACTA